GGCCGGGCGCCTGATCTCCAGCCGCAGAGCCTCGAGGAGGGGCAGCTCGACCACATGTCGGGCACCCGCACATTTCGCCTGCGCTTACACGACACGTTTATCGGGGTCGGCAGCCCCTGGTCAGGAAGGGGGAAAAATAAAAAAACCATCAGCACGCCAGCAAACCAACCCAAACAAACACAAGATACCGAAGGGCTGGTGGAGAGCGTGGCGGGCACCGTGCACACCAGCACTCTGCGGTTCACCCCTCGCTTACCCTCTGCTCGCCCCCAGTGCCCCACTTTTGGGGGTCTCCTCCCCCAGCAGTAGGTACGACCACACAGACTGTTGTTTCAGTGGTTGTTTGTTCTAAAAACCATGCACACCCCCCCCCAGACTGCTACACTTGTGCCCTGAACCCCCCTTTTTTTCGTCCTTTCTTGGTCCCCACCAATGCCCCATGGCAAGACCATCCCCTGCAGCCTGGCAGCAGTTGCCCTGAGCTGCTCTATCCCCTCTCCCCTTCCCATCTCCGGCTCCCAGCGTGCCAAATGCTCGCCCTGTCCCAAGCTTGACGACGTCAAGCTGGCAGCGACGTCCTGCTGGCAGGCGGAGGGAAAAGCCTGGACCTCGGGCAGTGCAGGGACGGGAGGATTTCTAGGCTGGAGGCAGGCGGCCAGAGCAAGCCCTGGCTCTGCGCGGGTGCGATGGGGAGCTCAGCACCCGGCCTCTTGCACCATCCGCTGGGTTGCTCAAGCGCCTTGCACGCCTGACGCGCAGCAACCCTTTTTAACCGGCATTTGCTGACTCTGCTCACTCCTGCTGCCACCACGTCCTTACACCCCACTCCCATCCCCACGTCTCGCAGTACTCCAGCCTCTCAGCTGACACATCCATCACATCCATCCACGGGTCCTCCCAGAACCCTTCATCTTCCCCTTCTCAGCTGGTGCCTCCAGCCCTGGCACGAGCCCGCAATTAGGGCTCTTCCGTAACTGCCAGAAGCCTCTCTGCAGAGCCACAGCTCACATTTACATTGGGATGTGGCTGAAGGAGAAGCAGTCACCCCCAAGTCCTCCAACCCTGCCAAAAAAGCAACACGCTTCACCCAAAAACAGCAGGAGGAAAGTGGCTGAGATCCCTCTGATCTCCCCCAGGTTCTATACATACTGTTTACCTGCCAGTAAATTGCAGTGCCATCTGCCCGTGCCAGTACTGGAGTTACTAATGCAGCCCAGGCTCAGCTCTTCCTCCGTGGGGCTGAGGGTGCGCGTGGGTTTTTCGGAGTTGTGTGGTGAAGCAGATTATTTCCCCCCCAAGCCCAAAGGTGGAGCAGATAGCTGGGTAATGGCACTGCAGGGCTCCTCTTGCTCTCTGGTCGGTGGCTGGGGGTGCTCCCGCTGCTTCCCCTCCCCAAATCCAGGAGCAAAGCGACGGGCCCCAGAAATCACACAGGAACCTGGAAAAATTATTCCCCATCACCACACTGGGTTAGGGGCACGTGGCAAGCCTTGACCTCGAAGAACGCGTTTTTCTCAGCAAAAGGGGAAGATTTTATTAAGTTAAAAGTTGAAGGGTGCAGCAGAGCAGCAGCAGCTGCCACCTTGGGCTCTGGCGGGCGCAGTAGCAGCCTCACAGCTCCTCTTCCCCAGCAAGGAGAGACGCCGTAGCTCTAGGCTCCTGCCAGTTCAGGTTCTTGAAGGAGCCAAAGGAAAGTCACGGAGAGAGCTCGATCATGCGGACTCTTGCCAAGGTCTCCTCTTTCAGAAGTCCCAGGCAAGCAGGTCCATGGCAGACTGCCCCGGCAGCTCCCTCCTATGGCTTGCATGTTTTCTCCTCAGGTCCTTGGGAGTGGCACGGCAGGGGGAGCATGGTCCTCACCGTACATCCCAGGAGAGCCGCGGAGACGTTTGGAAGAGAGGGAATGTGTGCCGAAGGTGGCTGTGTGGCCGGGAGCAATGGGGCTGGGGAGGGGGGGAAAACCAGAATCTCTTTTTCAGGTTAGAAAAGGCTGGTGATGTAGTAAAAGCTTTCCCCCTCCTCTTCCCCTTCTTCCCGGGGGGGGGAAAAACCTCTATAAAATATAATTTTCACATATCCGGGAGCAATGGGGCTGGGGAGGGGGGGAAAACCAGAATCTCTTTTTCAGGTTAGAAAAGGCTGGTGATGTAGTAAAAGCTTTCCCCCTCCTCTTCCCCTTCTTCCCGGGGGGGGGAAAAACCTCTATAAAATATAATTTTCACATATAAAATCCTGAAGAAGGTGCATGTAAGGAGCCGGTCCAAACAATGTGCTCAGGTACGCAGGCAAAAGGGGTTCATCGAAAAAGCTTTGGGAGGGGAGTGAGGAGGCTGGGGGGTGGGCGGGATTCCTTGCCAAAGTGATAACGGATGGGATCCAACCTCCTCCTCCCCACAAGTGAGGAATGGAGCAAATACAAAACAAGAACAGATAAACAAACGAAGAGCAGACCTAGAGAGAGACAAAACCAGAAATGGTTCAGAAAGACCACACCGAGCGCAGAAACGCCACCCCTTCTGCTCCCCCGGGAGACGGTCGTCAGGCGCCCCGCTACAGACCCCCTCGTCTCGGCGCCCACCAGCAAGCGCCAGCAGAGCAGGGTGACCCCAATCCCGACAGCCACGGCATCCAAGCAAGAAGCAGAAGGTGCTCTGGACAACAGGACGCCCTCATTCCTGTCACCCTGCTTCCCTCCCAGCCGCGGCAGGGATACCTGCAGGTCAGCATAGGAGGAGGGCTGGCCCTAGTCAGGGCTGCTTCGATGCAGACCTAAAATTTCCACGCTCCGATAGGCAAATACAGCAGAAACATCGCCTACGTAGGCAGTGCAGAACTGTCCCCACACTGTCACCCAAGCCAGGGGGTGAAGGCCAGCAGGCGGCCGACTCCCACCCCAGCCTGGCTGAGCAGGGCTTGGTGCTGGCTGCAGGACCAGCAAGAGCAGCACAGCAAAAAGAAGGCTGAGGACCCTGGGAGAACATCAGGGGCAACAGGTGTGCAGGACAAGAGGATGCAAGAAGCAGAGAAGGAAGAGTTTAAGCCTAAAGTTTCAGTGCTGAGTGGAGCAGGAGAAGCCAGCAGCCCCCATCCCCCTGCCAAAGCAGGGCAGCCAGCCTTAGCTGAGGACGTCGTGGTCCTCCCGGTGCTCACCGTTACTCGCCGACGCTGTTGCACAGCGACTCCTTCTCCTGCAGAGCCGCCATGGCCAGGCGCAGGTGCTCTTTCAGCTGCTCGATCTCTCGCTCTGAGCGCACCTTAATGTGATTCAGCTCCGCATAGACGTCTTGGTACTTCCCTGAGGCAAATCTCTTATCCTGCCAGGGGAGGGAAGAGGGGACAGCAGGTTTTAGAGCTGGTATTAGGGAGGAGGTGGCAAGGCGAGTCCAGCAGGAAAAGGGCCAGAGAGGAGAGCCAGTCCTGGGTTTGAAGCCCATCCCAACTCAGGCCACGCATAAACCACTCAGAAAAGGAGCACGGAGGTAGTGCTTCCCAAACCCTGGGCTGGGGAGGAAGGCAGAGTCGCTGGTCCTGCAAAATCAGGGATCTGCAGCAACAGATTGAGGAGGCGATGTGGGCTTTACCACAGCTTGTGTGCGTTTGGGTCAGCTCTATGGGAAAATAAACCCCACCAGAGCTGCAGGTCACTGCAAGGGCTGGTCCCAGCCACTTACACGGCAGAAAGATAGGTGAGAAAGTTATAAACTCCTGAAGCATCACTGAATCTCAAAGCCTCTTTGAGGTTCCCCTTTGGCAGGGGTCTTTGAGCTGCTGCCAGAGGAGGGAGCAGCACACCCAGCAATGATGCCCAAGGAAACACATCCACCCAGCGAGGGGACAACCAGGGGCAGAGAAGGCGGCTGGGGAAGCGGTGTGCTGGGCAGGCTTCATCTGGGCTTCCCACCCGGGAAAGAAGAGCTCCTGGCTTGTCCACGCTTCTTTGTACATACACCTGGGGAAACCAGCAGCAAAGCCTCCATCAGGTTTCCCTTGTACAAGGTAAGTCTATGCCAGCATGTGGTCACAGTGCGCTCGGGAGTGGGCATGGACGAGGAGCACAGGTGACAGGAGGGTTTGGCCTGAGCATCCCATCCAACCCAGCCAACATGCAGCCCTGGCACTCCCCTCCATCCCCTCTCCTGCTGCTTTCCCAACAGCTCCCAGAAAACACCAACCTTCTGCATCATCTGCATCTCCTCCCGGAGGCACTGCACCTCTTTTTTTAGGTACTGGAGCTCATTCTCCTTCACCCGCAGCAGCACCTGGGCCAGGGAAGGGGGAGAAGAACCAGAGCTGACACAAGAGCCACCGCCTTGGAAAGGCCGGCGGGCCCCGGCGCAAGCGCGGTGGTGGAAAAGGAAGGAAGGGCCAGGAGGCAGGAAGCGTCGCGAGCGCCCCGGGAGAGCGGCAGAGGGGAAGCTTGCGTACCTCCTTCCTGCACCGGCCCCGCTGACCCACCCGGCACCTCC